ACGACTATGAGTACACACACACACCCCAGTACACCATGCGAAGTACTTGTATTAACTAACGACTACGACATGCGTTACATAACCCCCCCCCCCCAGACTATTAACGAGATGCTTGAGGAAGAGGTGGTGCCGACGGAGGCTGGTTTCGCGGTCGGTTTCATGACGGCGAGGAAGCTGGGAGATGTGGAGTTCGCCAAGATGCTGCTGGAGCGGCGCAGCCAGGCGGGGATGCCCCCAAGGCAGGATTTCTTCGTCAACGTGCGTTACACACATTTTGAGTTTTGTCTTTTTTTCTCTCTGTGCGTCTTCCTTTCACTTGCTCTTGTGTCATTTCTTTGTAAATTGTAGTCGCTCGTGCGTAACACACATTTTTAAGTTGCCGTTTTCTCTGTCTGCCTTTCGCTTGTTTTTGTTTCATTTTTTTTGTAAATTGTGGTCACTCGCAATCTCTGGGACCCCCACCCTTTCCTGTGTTGACCGTTTTGGTCTAGCTGCACCCAATCAATAAATCACCTCGTTTCAGAGTAGGATGGTAAGCTGATGACGCTCCCATCGTCAGCCGCCAGGCGATGTGCCCTGGTGAAGTACGGGGCACCCTCCAGCAAATCATCATCATACCTCCATCATGCCATAATCTCTAGTAAATGCCGTTGGTTCTTTAATTTTTTTTTTTTTTGTTACCAAGGACACCGATGTGTATATACATATATATATATTTTTTTTTTCTGGCGTTTTTTTGTAAGACAAGACATTAATGTTTGTTCACCCCTCAACAACCATCATGACCTAAATCTCTTTGTCGTTGGTTATTTTCTCATTTTGTTTGTGGTTTCTATACGAAAAGACACGCATTTTTTTTTTTTTCGCCTCAGGTGATGGTGACGCTGGGAGAGGCCGGAAAGCCCGAGGATTTTTTAGAGTACTGGCGGCGGCTTGTCTGCGTGCAGGGGATCGACGGCTTGGGCATTAGGCCGGAGACGTTTTACCTTGCCCTCAGGACGGCGGTCAAGATTAAGGCCTGGGATGAGGTCGAAGCTATCATCGGCATGATGCAGGTTTGGATTAGTAGGTGGAAGCTGTGATCGGCCAAGATGGCAGGTGTAGATTAGTAGGTCGAAGCTGTCATCGGCACGATGCAGGTGTAGACTAATAGGTCGAAGCTGTCATCGGCATCATGCAGGTGTAGACTAGTTAGCCCTTCGTGGTGGTTGTTGATGTTGTCGGTGGTGGCGGTGGAGGGCGGTATGCATAAAAGAACCGTTAATATTAGATATGAAGCGCCCACATCAGCGGGGTGGTATTCATACGAAGAAACTCAAGTGCCAAATGAAAACACGCACGTCAGCAAGGTGGTATGCATACAATACAACCATCTAATTTGTGGGAAAGAAAAGCACGCATGTCGTTGTGGCGAATGGCATCGCACTTCTCTGTGTGTCACGTTCCGATTCTTCGAGGTCCTGGTTGTCGCGTTGTTGTTTGAGGGTATTGTACGTCCCCACCCCCCTCCCCCCTGGCCAACCCAACTGCCTTTTTGGAGGATGGGAGACCCATGGATGAAAAAAATCATAGCGTGTGTACATCCGGCAAGAGCACACCCCGCCCTCTCCCTTGGTCAACCCAGTTATCTTGTAGAAGAGTGGGGGACCCATGGATGTAAAAGTTCATGACGCGTGTACCTCCCGCGTCCCCTATGGTCTATCGACTACGCCATGCGTTTACATTAGTAACCCCCCCCCTCGAAGTGAAAGCACCAGAGAACAAATTAAGACATTCGTACCCAGGTGTCATCCGTACGCAAGGAAGTAAGCACAAGATGCCGAACACCCTTAGCAGGATGCAGCGCACCCTTCATGCGACTCGCCGAATACCTCACCCCGCTTCGCGCTTGGTGATGGGAGGGCCTGGTCCGATAAGAACCCGGCGTGCTCCGTCCCGGCTTTGTAGGGATGCGAGGTCAATGGTCTAACGACTACGGCATGCACGACTATGAGTATC